TCGACGTATCGGCTCCGTAAGTACTCCGCGATCCCCTTGCCCAAGCCATCTATTCTATCCGATGATGCGATTCCTCCATTCAGGTTGTCCAGAATTCGGCTAACACAATCATTAGTCAACATTGATACAGCCAAATAAGCTGCTCGACTCACAAATGCACAGCATTGATGCCGGGGAACTCAACCCGTTCGACCCTCCGGTTTGGATTATTCTTGTACCAGTCATCACCCAACAACTGCTTGAGCCGACTCACGGTCAAGATAGTCCGCAGCCAGGGATACTCATCTTCATTGCGAACGAAGAAGCCCACGTTCGAGTTGTCGGCCTTGTCTCCAGAACGAGCGTGGACAATGGTTCCCAAAGGCGCAAACTCTGTCGGGCCCAAGGAGACGATGTCGATTGGATCTGCCGTGTCTGCGGATGGCCTCTCAATCTTATATATCGCAGTGTTCTGAGGCGGAGCAACGGAAATCAGCTTGCCTGAGCCCAGAAGCACTTGATGTTCGATAAGTGATTGTGGTATCACAGCCGGGAGCATCTCCATGAACGGCTTGGGGTCCATCGTCCGGAAATCTAGCGACATGTGGTATCCGGGGTAACTCTGCATTCTCACGGCGTAAATGGGAACCTTGAAGTTGACAGCTGCGATATCCTCCTTCTTCCGCGCCTGCGCAAAGACGCGAAGCTGCACGGTGCCCGCTTGCTGAGAGCTAGGGTTCCGGGCTTGTGTTCCGTACTGCTCGATGCTCAGCCTGCTGAAGTTGCTGTCCTTGAAGAGGTATCCTAGCTGGTTTTTCATCATCGTCACCTTCTCGTCCACGTCAAGTCCGTTGATGTAGAATGTCGCCTCGGCCTGGTACCCGCCTTCAGCAGCGAACATGACCTTTGTTGTCGGCGGTGGCGGAAGCCCTTTGGCACCCCATACTCTGACACGATCTTCCCCGGCATCTTTCTGCTCTTCGACGCGGACACTTGACAAGTCGGCCACTACGTCCGGGTTGAGGTAGAGATGGCCCTGCAGCTCGTACAACAGCTGCGCCGTGACGGTATGCCGCGTAACATGGCCGCCGCCCTCGGTAGTCTTACTGATAACGCACTCTCCGCCGCGAGAAATCTCCGCCACAGGGAACGCGAGATCGACTAGCTCCGGGAGGAAGTCTTTGAAGCCGGAGAAGTTGGCACCCACGACGTACGGCCCGCATTCAATCAGGTGCGCCGCGAGCAGGGCGCCGGCCAGCTCCTGGTGCTGGTCTTCTCTCCAGCCGTAGTACCACGCCGCGGCGCCCATCACTGGCGAAGCGTCGGTGCATCGCCCGCAGACTACTATGCGCGCGCCTGCTTTGAGAGCCTCCACGATGCCCCAGCACCCGATGTACGCGTTGCCACAACAGGGCTCGAAACCCCAATCGTCGAGGGTGGTCTCTGGATGATCCAAGTGCGGGAACTTCAAACTCCCCCTCCTTGAAGGGTCCTGGAGTAATCCAGAGACATCATCCCCCAAAACCGCAGCAACTACACTTTCAGGATACCCCTTCCTCCTGCACAACTCTTTAACTTTGTCAAACAGCGCAACGGTATTGAGCGCCCCCGCGTTCGTCACGACGCGCACGTCCTTAGTCATGATGTCGTCGATGCATTCTTCGAGCTGCTCGTAGAAGCCGTTCTCGTAGCCGAGGTTCGGGTCGACGTCGCGCTTGGTGATTGCGTTCCAGGCGATATTCATCTCGGAGAGCCAGTCGCCCGTGATGACTTGGACGTTGCCGGAGCGCAGCATGCGCGCCATGGCGTGGGGGTGGTCGCCTGTTGCGCCGGAGACGTTTCCGATTCTGATGGGGGGTTTATCGATCATGGTTGGATTTCTGGCTGTTGAAGGAAAGGAGATAGAGTAGAGACAAGAGACAAGAGGAGTAAGGCGAGGAGTAGAGGTGCAAGATATCAGAGTAGGGTAATATTAGACTTCAACGCGGTCCGCGGTATTATCACACAAGATTTCCCAAGCTGTCTGGTTCACATGTGCCGACGGATATCTTCCCAATAACAGACATAACCATGATCCATCTTCTGGATCTAAAGACATCAGTAACCGCCGATTGCGGACTCAGTACCTGCGGACCTAGCACCGAGCCAAGACCTCAAACGGATATTATCTGTCTACATCATCCTACCGATCCATCGGGATTGCAACGGATCCAATCAAAGTGATGTGAAACCAACTCCTCAGCAAGAAAGCCACGGCACTCACTTGAGTCTCGTAGCTGATCACGGTGGTGTACGACCATAGGAGAGCGGTGCCACAGACCGAAGCATCGGCGCGGCCGCCGAGGCCGAAAACTCCCCGCAACTCTTCTCTCCCAGCCTTTCAACACTTTACCGAGAACCAACACGGCACATGGGAACGTCTCAGGAACGTGTTGTCTGATTGGTCTAGTGTCTAGAGGGAAAAGCGAGTACACTGAGCAGAGTCATATCTGGCCCACCTAAACCATTCCCCAATAGCACCATCCAGCGGGGAACTGAAGTGAAATGACAAGGGGGAAACCTGGAGTTGGAGAGAGACGGCGGCTGGGCAATGAGAGACCATGAATCCTTTGTGGCGGCGCGGGGACAAGGCCGCTCTCCTTACTCCTCCTGGTGTCTTGTCGGCATTCGGCGCCGCTGGCCGAGATGTGCTTTTGCCGCTTTACGCTTCCGCTACCTGCAGGCTGCACCATTGTGGAACGGCGTCACTCTGGGTCCAAAGCTATGGATCACCTACCACCCTGCCACCACGTTACGGCGCCCCCCACCAGATATCGCGGAGCCAAGGATGCCAAATCCGGGGTTGTTGCGGGGAAGAGGAACCGAGGGGGGATTGAGGTCTCGTTGCACCAGATCGCTGTACATATACAGTCTTAATTACCCTTGACCAGGTTTCTGGATGTGCCCCCCAATCCAATGCTTCCACATTTCAACTTGGTTGCCATCGTCGCTTGTAACTCCTCTATTATTCTTGCTGAGGATTAGCAGCAACGACAAAACTATTGTGAAGATGGCGACGCAGACGGAAACTGTGGCCAAGGGCCTTCCGGCGCAATCGCCAACCGACATTGAGAAGCAGCAGGTTCTTCATCAGGAGCATTCTCATGTGCTGGACGACGAGAAGAGGCCTGCTGTGGCGGTCGATTACTCTGGAGCTGCGGCCAAGACTGACCCTACGGAGATCAAGCTCGTGAGGAAGTTGGATCTCTGGGTGATGGTATGACCTTCAAGACTCAAGCTACTTGTCCGAATATGATCTAACTCTAAACTACGAAGCCAACTCTTTGGTTGATGTACTGGCTCAAGTAAGTCTTCCCTCCACCGAACCCCCAAGTCGACTCCGAGGACCAACCAAGTAACACCCCCCAGCTACCTTGACCGTAACGCAATAGCTCTAGCCCGCCTCAACGGCCTTGAAAAGCAACTCGGCCTCAGCAGCGTCGAGTACTCTACCAGCGTCTCCATCCTCTTCGTCGGCTACATTCTCGGCCAGATCCCAAGCAACATGATCCTCACCCGCGTGCGACCCTCTTGGTACATGGGCGGCTTCATGATGGCCTGGGCCGTGGTCTCCGTCCTCACGGCCGTGGTGAAGGATTATAAAGGGCTAGTGCTCACACGCTTCTTTCTAGGTGTCGTCGAGGCGCCGTATTACCCCGGCGCTCTGTACATTCTGTCCATCTTCTATACCAGGAAGGAGCTCGCGACGAGGATTAGTGTGTTGTATTCCGGGAATATCCTGGCGACTGCGTTTGCGGGGTTGATTGCTGCGGGTGTGTTCCACGGGATGGAAGGGTTGCATGGTCTGGAGGGGTGGCGGTGGTTATTCATTTTGCAGGGCGCGGTGACGTTTGTGATTGCCATGATGGCTTGTTATACGCTTCCCGATGAGCCTCTTACGACGAGGTGGCTTACGCCTGAGGAGCGACAGCTTGCGCATGATAGGATTGAGAGGGATACTGTAGGTGCGAAGATGCAGAGCAGTACTTGGGGTGGTCTGCGCGAGGCGATTGTCGATCCGAAGGTGTGGGTGTTTATCTGGATGCAGCATTGCCATCTTGCGACGAATGGGTTCAAGAACTTCTTTCCCAGTAAGTCCTCATCCCGAAGATTGTTCTTCTTGGTTATCACCAGCTAACTTGTATGTAGCGATTGTGCAAACGCTAAATTTCAACACGACGATTACGTTGGTCCTGACGTGTCCGCCATACCTCATCGCTGGCATCCTATCCATCGTCTGGGCGTGGAGCTCCGGACGTTTCAACGAGCGGACGTGGCACATCACCATTTCTAAAGCCGTTGCTGCTTTCGGGTTCATCTTGGCTTGCGTGACGATGAACACTGGTGCTCGGTACTTTGCCATGACGGTGTTTACTATTGGCACGTATGGTGTAAACTCGATGTGAGTAAAACCGCCCAAACCAGGTTCGCAGAGACATGGTCGTGATTCTAGTAAAGCTGACATTGTTTGGGGTCAGCTTGCTCGGCTGGGTTGGAAGTACGTGCGGACAGACGAGAGAGAAGAAGGCCTCGGCGCTGGCGATTGTGAATACCAGCGCTAGTATCAGCTTTATCTGGACACCTGTAAGTCGGCTGCCCCTGTTTCCCCTTGGAATGTCCAGAGGAACTGTTTTCTAACTATGTCGCCAGTACTTGTGGCCCACGTCAGACGCCCCAAGATATGTGATCCCTATGGCCAGCAGTGCGGCGTTTTGTGTGGCCTGCGCCGCTGGTGCATGGCTGATGAAGTGGATGCTTGTGAGAGAGAACAGGAGGATTCGGGCAAGCAATTCTGAAGCCACGCTATTTTATGCCCATTAAAGGGAGATTTATAGGTTGATGATAGGACGAATTTGACCGCAACGATTCAAGTTTTGATCACTAGGAGTCTAGAAGAGTCGGTCGGCTTTCGTAGCTGCCTTTAGTGAGCTCAAGGGACAAGTTACTGATCGACGCAAAGTCATTTCTTCGAGTGAACCTGACTAGAGTGGTTCAAACTCGCTCAAAGGATCCATATCGAAACCTAGGAGCTCTCCTTCCAAGTCATAGAAGTCCCCTTGATGCTCTGGGCTAGCCAGTTCGGGCCACATAGACTTGAATAAGTAGTTTTCAAAGGATAGGAGGTCCTGAGTGCCAACAACAGCCTCCGCCGAGCTGGAACTCGATCCGGCGAGAGGCTGGTTCACTCGGTCTAGGCCTTGCACGATAGGCTGAGAACCCCCCTCGGAGCCCCACGTCGATGGATCGCCGATGATGGTGTCTTCTACTGCACTCGAATGATCTTTATGAGTTCCTTGGTCACGTTGGACTTCTGGGCCTGATTCAATCTGCGGGTCTTTGTCTTGCTGCCAAAGCTCCCTCAGTAGGACACTGTATCCATGGCAGATGTGCGGTTCAGTTGAGGCCACTTCGTCCAGGGTCAAGATGAAGGCTTGCGATAGGCCTCTCACTTGTTTCTGTTGAGCATGACCCCGTATAGCCCCTGCATTTAGAGCCTTGTATAGAAACACTGCGGCATAGAGTCCGTAGCTTCCAGCTGCAGTCAGTCTCGAACCGCATTGGGCTGTCAGAACCTTCAAGAGAGAGAACTTACAGATGATAACGTGAAGGGAGGTAACACAAAACCCTTCGGGGATCCAACTCCGTTGTAAGACTAAGGAGGTCTCTTGCTGCCGTGATAGCACTTGCAATGTATCTTGCGTCAGGTGAGGCCATAAGACCATTGGAGAAAAGATCCAACCCCGATCTCTTGTTGCCGCGTAATTGCCGTCGGTCGTCCCCCCGAGGACCTTGATGTTGAGACTCACGCGTCACCACTGCATGAAAAGAGAATGCGTTAATATACAAACAGAGATATTCGTGCGAAATACGAAGCGTAGACTTCAGCTTCGGAGAAACTTGGAGACCTCCCCAATTGGTACTCCATGCCGTTGCTGCTTCCATCAGGTCATCCAAGTAGCGCGGATAATCGCCCTCGTTAATCATCGACTGCGTTCTCTCATTGGCCGAGTAGAGTATCGAGTGAGCGTTGTGAAGTATCTGCATCAAATCCAAGTGCGCATGCAGAACTGATGCGTAGTCGTCGGTACTACATCCAGCCACAGGCTTTAGACTCGGAAAGTCTTTGGCCGTGAACTTGGAAGAGAGAGCCGGCCCACGGGACCAGAAAGACTGCCCTAGTCGAACTGAGATCTGCCTGTCTGCCAAGTAGGTGACTGCAATTGAGAGCATGATCAGCGCAAACTTCTTTTACCAATTGAAAGCCTTAAACTCACACGTCCAAATGAGACGATTCTGCTCCTGTTTATCGTCTACTGACTCTCCCGATGAAGGACTCCGGAATGCGGCACGGTCTAGTCTCAACGAGTAGCCTAAGCGTACGGCGAGACCGACAATTGACCAAGCTGTTTGTCCTTCACTGAAGTGGTCCTTGTGGACCGCCAAGGCGGAACGTTTTGATTCAATATGAGGCAACCACTCAGATAAGAGTAGCAAACCCTCGACTGTTCGCGGGGTTTGAGTCCATGAATGAGCTAGGAGCACTTGAAGAAGTAGACTTTGCACGTAATTCCAACACTGGCTGTGAAGATGTGCGTCCACTGGAGAGTCCCTTGATGCAATAGTCAACAAGACTGCTAGTAGAAAGTAGTCACGTTTCTGTAGCTGGCCTGGCTGTGTGAAGAAGTATGTCGGAGTGACAGGGCAGTACGGATGATAGTTGCTTGCAAACCTATTTCGTTGAGTCTTAGATTACAACCATGTCGGGGGGTTGACTTACATATCCAGAAGCTCGGATGCCTTGTCAAGGCGAAGTACACCTCGTCGAATCAGCTCAAAGTTGTTTAGTCCCGACATCGTATCTGTCATGCACTTAGGGCCTGAGGTTTCTATCCGAAAGCCAGAGCCGTCGAATTCCTCCAGTCTTACAAGAGTCTCTCTGGGCTTGGCTGAGGGCATGGTATTTGTATGGTGAGATGTTGGACGATGTGTAATTGAATTGCTAGTAGATACCTTGTTCCTTGAACGAGCAAGAATCTGCAAAGCATCAGAGGGATTTCTGAGCTCCATGTCATTGTGATCATCGGGTCCCGTAACTTCATCTTCGTTGCAACCATCTTCGTTCGTTGAGGGGACGAAGACTGAAGACCGAGGAGATGCTGGCCCGGGTGATGGTTCGACTGAGGAAGGAGACGCTTGGGTGTTGTGATCCCGCCTTGCTTTACGAGACTTGCGCGATGAAGACACAACGCATTCACTTCCAGAATAGTAACAGGAAACACAGGGAGGTTTCATAGGCTCTCCAACCCCTTCACTGAAATGTGTTGATTAGAGCAGAATCGTTGGGCGAATCGCGGGCATACTCACAAGTTGCACTTGGTCTTTCGACTTCGGCATCTCGTACACGCGCGATACGACCTCTTCCCCGTGCCAAGAGTCATGATAAGTACAGTGCAGAAAAGACAGATGACTTGATCTAAAGCTCCTCTGGTATTTTACTGAGACATAGTTCGACGTTGTTTGGAAGTGTTGTTCGCGACGGCCCGGATAGCGGGGGCCGCCGCGTTCGTCGGCATTGGTCGGCAAGGGACGGCACCGGACGGCACAAAGTGGATATTGAGAATCAAGCAGAGCAGTCGGCTGTTCCTTTCAGCCGCGAGTCGGAATGGGATGAAGCTGACTCTCGATCGCAACGTTTATTCTTCTCCAGCATCATTTCAACCATATAATTATGATGCAAAAGTACAATGGAAATTAGACTGAAGCCACATTGACCGTCCTTGTTTGCACGCACTGACGCCATTTAGGTAGGTTGGCATTTTCGTGTTCCAGAAGAGCTTTTCGCTACTGAGTGATAAAGGAATATTTCAAGATAACATTTCGTCAAACCAAAAAGCTAAACGAATAACTTCAACTTTAATATGCGTATTCTCTTCCCAAAGGATTATAATAAGACCGGAAAAGCAATTAAGATGCACGATGTTGGTTTACTTGGCCGAGCTCTCTGATCACCGCGCCACTCTCATCCTCCATCCCCCTCTTGGCCCTCAAATCATACTTTAGGAGCCGCCGGACTTATGAAGTAAAGGGGTTATTGACGGAGTATGATCGAGACTTCCGAGGCGTGTTACTCCTGCTCATCACGGAAAAGTTGTTCTCATGTAGCGTCCCTCTTGACGGCTTGTCCTCGTTCCATGAACGATGTCTGTGTTGATCGGTGGCTATCGAGGCCCTTCGCTGAGCGTCGTTTCCACTGTCTAATTCTTAGTAGCTGCTCGATCAGGAAAATGATCGTGATTCTCGGATATGGTGATGGCGACGGCGACAACGTAGGTAGTGCAGTCACTCCGTTTTAGGAGATCGTCTATCGGATCCCAGCCGTGGTTACTATAATAGTGTTGATAGAAGTCTCCGAACCTGGAGTACATTTGCAAACGCCTGCATCTTGGATCGCCAGGGATGATGTTTGAGGGAACGCCAGGGCGACCGGGAGTAGGAGGCGAGTGCTCCTCGCATAGATAGTATATAAGGTTAGGATGGGGTTTATCACAACGCATTCAAGCAGCCTCGATGGCATACTCGCGTCTACAATGGACGCACCCAAGTTTGGTAGGCTGTCCAGTCTGCCTTGCCTCTCGTTCGGCCGAGATTATTTCTTCGTCTTGGTCCTCTCCTACTCGATCAGGCATAGGCGGAAACTGTATGTCCACTTGCTCAGGTTGGACTGCTTCTTGCTCACATTGGACAGACATGATGCTGAAGTTCTGTTACAACATTAGCATACGCAGCCACCAGTTTGGACTTGGCTGTGGGGAAAGCAGGGAAATTCAAGCTAACTTGATGTTTATATTTCCGTATTCTGACTCGTCCAAAAAAGCCGAACGTCTGAATAAAATTGTAGGGTCTGGTGAGTGATAGCCTTCACAGATGATCGCAATTGGAAACTAGATGTCGAGAAAGTTAAACGTGCGTGCTCATGTATAAAAATACGGTCCTGCCACCATGGAGTGAAGGACTTGGATCTGAATTGACTGTTCGGCGAAAAGTATCAATTGCTCCAGTTTTTGTACAACATCATCATGAAAGGACCCTACTCTCCCCTTTAGATGTTTACTGGGTGTCGCCCAAGCGGTAAGCTCCTCCTAAGAATACTGAAAGGGATAGAGATCACCACATTGATCGAACAACACATACAACCATTCAAGAGAGACAGAATGCGGTTGAATATCATTCTACTTGTCACTGTTAGATGCCACGAGACACATTCATCTTGCGGTCTGGGAAATTGCCAAGCGAATGTTGAGTCCTACGATAGCTCGGGATACCCGAGTATGTTATGAAAAAAGTGGCATAGATGCATAATGACCATTAGTGCCTAGGATACTTTTTCTTGTCATCTGTATTTTTAGGTCATTCAAACAAACATCGATTTAGCGCGACAGTCACAATATCAATTCCGGCAGACCAGGTGGCGCCCGAACTTACGAGACGCATTGGTTGGGTTTGAGGTGAGGCAACCACTTAGACAACAATAGCAGAGCCGCAACCGTTCGTGGGGCCCTAACCCAGGGATGAGACAGAAGCACTTGGAGGACCAGGCTGTGTACGTGGTTCCGGTAGTGGCAGCGAATTGGTGTGTATTCTACAGAGCCCCTCGATACGATCTTCGGCAAGTCTACCAGGAGGATGTAGTGGCGTTTCTGTAGCTGCTGCAAGCCTGGATGATTGAGAAAGGATTCAGAAGTTCCTGACTAACATATCCGGAAGTTCGGATAGAATGAAGGGATACGGAGACCTGTCGATCTATGAGGTCTATTGAGTGATCAAGGTACTTAAGGTAGGAAAGTAAGCGAGATGCGATCATCCATGGGAAAGATTTAAAGGTATTGCATTTTGATTGTTTGGGTAACTTCCTCCCTGAGCAGAATCAGCTACGTAAAAGATGTTCGACTAATAACTATTCCCTAAGAAGTATTCCCTCGTCTCCCCACTACTGCTCCTCCCCTGAAGCTTATTCAGTAACGCCCGCTCGAGGCCATTGCCATGAGCGAGGTCTTATCCCATTGATAATATGTTTTTGGATATGATCCAAACGCAGCTGTTGGTCTAAACCTCTAAGAGCGAGGCCTTCCTGTATTTGCGGATCATCATATTTTAGAGCCTTTCGACAATACCCGCACCAGAATCCATCAGCATGAATCGGAAAACAATTATCTCTCTGGACTGACAGCACCTCGCTCCAAGAGGTACCCACTCCGTGCATCATTGTCAAGTGTTGTGCAAACTCGAAACGTTGCGTAACCTCGAATGATGTATTGCAAAGCCTTGAATCATTGTCACGGTCCGGCAGCGAACACACCCAGTAAATGCCGTTTAGATCCTGGATTCGTTGCTCAGAGTGGCTTTCCTCACAAAGTCTCCAATCCCGTGCTTCCAAGTAAGGCGAGGAGCAAAAGGTACAGAGGAAACCATCAGGGACACTATCATGCGTTTCTTCGTGGGTCGCATGTTCCGCCATAGTAGTGAAACGTTGGCCACAATACCCATAATAGCATCTGGGTAAGTGTTCACTGTGCCCATTCGTAAGGCCATTCCCATTTGTATGCGAGGTCCCGTTTGCGGACATGGTGCCTGGAAGGCTGTTGTTAGCATGAACTCGCAAGCTTCACCAAGAGAAGGAACAAAATATCGATTACCTTGGCAAAGTCTGGTAATTCAGACTATGGGTCCAGGGAAGACAGATGTCAGATTTAGTTGAGGCGTGTATTTCATAGAGTACCAAGGTCTGTTAGCTGGCGCCGTGATGTATAATACTGGCTGTTCTGCTTAAGAAGCCGGATCACCCCGCCCTTCATATATTTGAGGTAAGACTCGGTAATTGATACCTGGGTTGAAATTCGTGATCGCCAGGATGGTTTCGACAAACTTAAGTCCCCTTTCATGATAAGTTTACCTTGAGCGGTGAAGCATTCATCTTCTTCGCACTAGCGACGTAGATCGTCTAGGTTTTGGTGTTTCAATATGAAATGTCATGTCACCTGTCAAGAACGAAATGTAAAGTTATCAATGAACTATTCTTGAGATTGACCGCCACTGAGAGTCTGTGGGTCGTGAGCTACACCCATAATCCCGAAATATACCTAGACCTGCCTTGATGATTTCTTGGAAAAGCTTAGCTAGATAGCCGGTAAAACTCCCCGGGAAAGGTGGCCAAAGAGCTAATGAACGACTGACGCCTCTCTAGCAGGGTGAAGCTGTCTGGTTTTCATAATCCGGAATGTATGAGATGACAAGTCGCGCAGTTGTATGGTGTTGTTTACCATGATTCAGCGGTAAGTATGTCTTTGACACCTTAGATAGATAGTCCAGATTGCCGTCATGAGCTTTAGACGGTTCGTGAGTAGGGCTTTGTGGTTACTTTGATTCCTGGATGGATCCTTTATGGAGATTTTCTCAAACGCCACTACGTAATTGTATCCTTGGCAATCCGACGCTCAAAGGCTTCAATGCCGAGCGGATGATGTCAAAATTGAGTATGAAAGTGTTCGCAAGTTTGCAATAATATTAACCGACTAGTGCGTGAAACCTTGTTATACTCAAGATACCGAATATTGACTGAAAGGACGAATAACTCGCTGACATCGCGAAATTTGCGGAGAATATCTTGGTATCCTGCCATGACGAATGATGGTCGGTAAAGGCCAAGAGTTTGATTGGTGAAAACTTTCTATCGGCCAGCAAGGATCGGTGTTTCTCCACAAAGAATGCGGTAAACGATGTCAAACAAGCAGTTGCCACATCCTTCCAGTCTTCTTTGTGGGCCTGAATATTTCTGCGGTAGATTATTCAGGCCTTCTATCTTGGTTGACGGTGCGGCGGTAGGGTGGCGTTTTCTATGTCCTGGCAAATGAACATGTGCATGATTGTTACTTTGAACAGATGATCTTTGTTACCGCCTCTAATGAGATCATTGCCAAGAGTCGAGGCTGATAGCAAATATGACTCTTATGGTTGGGCGCCTGTCTTGGATTCCAAACACAAATTACCACCATTCATAAGGTGTTGGGTATTGATTATTGCGTAGTGACCTGTCACTAGGTGCCAATTCATTATATCATACGAAGTTCCGGTGGAAGAGGAACTGAATTACAATCGTTTAAAGCAGGGAAGATGTTAAAGAAATTGGTGTTTTTTTTTCTTCTCTTTTTTTTTATTTTTATTTATTTATTTTCTCTTGCACTTGTTTGATACACAAGCGTGCTCAACCGCCTAAGTACTTCAAGGATATATCGAACATGCAACTAGCAGCTACATGCTAAGAGGCACCCATGTTTCCCATGGTTCAGCAACCAGTGGTCATCAAGCTCAACCACTGACTTCTAGTATGTCAAATACCTCCCTCTTGTACTTCGTCTCAAACTCCCGCAGTAGGCAAGTGCCCGTTAGAGTTCCCATCGTCTAACATGTGCCGTTGCAAGTGATCCAAACGCAGCGGCTGGTCCAAACCACAGATAACAAAGGATCGTAAAAAGTCTGGATCGTTGTATTTGATACCCTTGACACACCATGGGCAATAGAATCCGTCAGCGTAGATCGGAAAACTCGATCTCCCGAGGACTGGGATCACCGCACTCCATGATCGGCCCACCCCGTGCAGGGTTACCAAGTGTTCTGCGAACTGGGTACGTTGTTTCGCGGTGAAGGATGTGTTGCACGCTCCTGCACCTCTAGGTTCCGAGCAAACCCAGTAAATGTTGGTCGGATTCGTGATATATTCCTCATCATGGTCAAGTTCGTGATCTCTCCAGTCCGTCGCAACTGAGAAGAAAGCGCCGCAACCCGGATAGGTATACGGAAATTCCTGATTACTAGGCCTTCTTTGGTGCTCTTCATCAACGTGAGATGAATAAGCCGCCTCAGTAGTGAATCGTTGGCCGCAATATCCGTAGTAGCACACATAGACATGGGCGCCATTGACATTATTTCTGCTGCCATTAATACTGATTCCATCTGTAGATGGACCTCCGTTGATCTGCGAATTCAGGTTGTGGTTCCCGTTTGTGACAGAGTTTCCGTTTGTGCGTCGATGCCTCTCCGCACGTTCTGTCCCGTTTGCGAACATGATGCTTTTGTAATAACGTGGTCAGTATATTCTAGGCGCGTGACCATGCCGATAAGAAAACCAAGTGGTAGGTACCCTTAACTACGTTAGATTGGTGGTGATGATTTAAGATATAGAGAGAGTTGACACTCAAATTCATAGGGGAAGTGCGAGGTCTGGAGATTGTGTAGTTCTGATGTCGTGGTGTGTCTCGACCTGACCTCGAAGAATGACACGTCCACCCTTGATATACCACTAATGAATTAATGCTACGTTTCAACACCCCAGTTGGACCAGACCCGTAAAGTGCCGGGATTCTTGGACTGTTCTACTTCCATACCCTTGCAAATCTTCTACCTCGGGCGGTAAAGCATTGTTCTTGACTAACATTCATCGGCTAAGACTCTCTTTCTGGATGCAAATTTCCAACGTCATCTGGTGAAATCAGAATGAAAGCCATTCCATGACTCCATTCTAGCACTAACCGCCACCAGGGAGCTCCACTTTGTCAGCTACGTCCTGGATCCCGCTGCTTCGAGTGCAGAAAATCTATGGCTCAATCTGGATATCATGCCTTTGAGTTCAATGGGTGACCTTCTAGGGCATTTGAAAGAACCTCTCCGGCCTTCTTTAGTGAAACGAGTCTGCCTAAATAAGGAATTTTCAGATCTTCTGATTAGAATCATATTACGGTGTCACGGCAATGAACACGTGCGTCTTCGTCATATTGAACAGATGATCCCCATCGCCCCCTTTGAGAAACTTATCGTCCAGAATTGAATTCAGCAGAAAAGAACTTTCCACTTCGCAGCAAACAGGCGCCGGCCCCGAGATCCAAACACTGCATGTAAGAATGTGCCCTTGACTCAGCGTGTAATAACCTGCATTCTGAGATGACCATCATTGAGCACAATAGCTGATTTTCATTCTACGAATTTTCTCACTCTCACACCCCCGGACTAGGCCACTGCCAATGGTTGCCGCCATCTTCCAACACATGCTTTTGTATGTGATCTAGACGAAGTGATTGCCCTATTCCCTGGAGCTTGAGATCCCTTTTGATCGCCGGGTCATCGTATTTGAGATCCTTGCCACAACGCCCGCACCAGAATACTCTATGCTTGAAACAAGTTTTATCGAGAATCTCTTTCCTTCCATCCTCCGTTCGGTGATAGCCATGCCGTATTCACAGGTGGTTTTGGTAGTTGGTACCTTGTTTACTGGTATAAGATGTGTTGCACGTTTTCCCATTCATGGCCGATGCCTTCGAACATACCCAGTAGACCTAGGGCTGTCCACGGCCAGCACCGTGTGATGCTTCGCATGCTCTCCATTGGAGTGCATTCCCATAAGGCTGTCCGCAAAAAGTACACATGAAACTGCCAGGAAAGTGTTCGGTTTGTTCGTGGATCTTCCGGAGGTTTCCATTCTGGAATTGCAAGCTGTAATACCCATAGTAGCACGTAACATGCGCTGTTTCGTGATCAATCCTATCCGCCACACTGTCGAATGCTTGACTACCTACAATACGTGCACGTAAGATGCGTTTTCTCTTGCGCATCTCGTTCCGCTTCGTTATCGAACTTTTCAATGCGTTCCTTGTGATAGCAGACAATTGCGAGTATGACATCCATAAACGGGTTCTGCGACATACTTTCGTTACAATGCCGTTAGCATGTGCCAAACTTGTCCACTAACTTTGTGGGCAGATAAAAACGAAAGCGACCTTGATTCGTGAGTTTAGTTGTAGTTTCAAGATTGTGACTTGTAGGTCAAGTGCAAGGTTTGTCGAAAGTCCTGAGCGAGGGACTGTTTTCCCACTTTGAGTAGAAAATCTCACTTCTTATACATCGGTGTTTCGATACACTTCACCACGTAGAGCAAGATCTCGTGCTCTCGACATTCTTGACTGTTACACTCTAATGATTTATGAATAGTTTAGGTGGTGTGGGTTTTACTCTTCTTGAGTGACAATACTAAAATCTGGTTTGGTATTGAAGAAGGAATAAAGACTTTCTGTATGACGGAAAAATATGAATGCAAAGTCCACAATGATTTCTCCTCGATACTGACCACCACCAGAAAATCTATGCACCACGAGACGAATCATAGATTCGCTTTGAGGATCATTCAGCGGGTGTCAAGTCAGACGACTCTTTGGAATATCTGCAAGAAGTGTCCCATGACAACATGGCTCTGTTACTTTAAGGATTTATGAGTCGTGGCGATTCAGCTCGCCTGTCTTCACCTTTTTTGCGGTTTGCCAGCGTTGACATACCCCGGCGGCAAATACGTCTTCACCATTGTGGCCAGGTGACCCTCCCCCGATGACAGCCTTCGGGACTACGTTTCAGCAGACCATTTTGAAAGCTATTAGTCATTCACGGCAATGAGATTCGACTAGGTGTCAATGTGTTTACTCTTGTGTTGTGTGAAAGAAGAGCCTGCTCAAATCAAAGCTATGTGAGTGTCACTATTAAGCTGAAAGAAACTCTGTATGGGAAAGAAGATAAGGATATAAATTCAGGTACTTCCTTATAGAAAAGATATTCAACTAGCAGCTAGATTCTCGTGTACATATTTCACTGCTCTGGTTCACTAGCTAATGATCGGAGACAATCGCTAGATTCAACATCATCAGTCTCCTCAACCTCATCAAGACGCTTCCTGATTAGGCTGTTGCAGCGCACGTTCCCGCAAGGATATCTTATGCCGTGAGAGGTGATCCAAACGCCGCGTCTGCCAGTGCCCGTAGAAACGGGGGTAATCCTCGAATTCGGTATCATCGAGCTTGCGAGCCTGGACACAATCTTCACACCAGAACCTTTGTCCGTTCGACGTGACATTATAATCTTTGATAAATGTGGACGCTTGATCGGGTGGTATGTTATGTTCCGACAAGTGGCTCACAAACTCGGAAAGTTCTTCGCGCTTGAAGGGTGTGTTGCACGTACTAGTCCCATCATCTTTCAGTCTCGTACAAATCCAGTTAGGGCCGTTCTGATCACGGTCGCCCTGGTGTGATATTTCACACTCTTTATATTTGATCATAGTGGGATGTTTCTGATTGCACCCAGAACACTCGAAGTTCTTGCCAAATTCATTGTCGTGCGTCTGTTCGTGATATTCTGCAAGTGACAAAGTATGGAACGTTTTGTTGCAAATCCACCAGTACGAGCACTGTAAGTGCCTTGCTGTATGCGCATTTCGAGCGATCTCAGTTGGGAACTCGGCGAAGTCGTAATATGGGCACTTCACATAAGGGCAGGTAAATCGTTTCGTAATAGTGGGAGAATCCATGCTCTCATTCGTCCTGTTTCAGTTCAAATCTCCGATTGTATAGGAATGCCGGCTGGGTAGCTCTTTGGTAACCCGGTTTGTAGATATGATGCCCTGAATTTAGTACGATCAGTATGTGCGAGGTTCGCCGAATTTCCTGAGCAGGGGTAATGATAATAGCTCAATACCTCAAGATAGATAGACGGTTCAAGCTGTGAATGTAAGATTGCCTACAATTGCTTTTCGGGGCTAAAAACCAAATCTGCCAATTGACTCGCTGTGCTGATGCTCTTGGTGCTTAGATAGGGGCCATTCCTGCTTCCATGCTGGACAATCCCGCCCTTAAATACTCCAGATTATACTGACACGAATTAATAGACGTTTTTGTGGGATCTAGATCACTTGACTGTTCTCGTGTCCGCTATGCTTGCAGATTGTCACCTTGGCTGGTCAAGATGAAGCTGTTCAGAGAACTGTTCTTCAGACTACCCTTGCACCTCTGTGACTTTGCCATAGGGTGGCACGGCAGCATTCGCCCTAAACTAGTAGAAACCATTGGCACTTCGATTAGATGATCCAGCCTACCGCCAGTCCGTCCGTCCGCCTCTCAAACCATTGCCACATCCACGAGCCATCAGGATGCATTGCTCCAAGCTTTTCCTTCTTCCTTTAGCCGATGTTCACAACCGCCGGTGACAATGAATGGCTATTCCGACCAACGGCCTCAAGATTCAATAATGCAACCTCTACTGAGAAGATGAGCGTGTTCGCGTCAAAAGTTGGCTGGGCGGAAGGACATGTTTGCTTACCTCCGACGAAGCAGTTTGGTAAGTGGTGAACAACTAATCGAATCAAGACACCTACTAGGTAGTGGACAAAGAGCATACCAATATCGCGAAGTCTGCCTACTGCATGTGCCTGAGTCTTGCACACTGCGATAAATGCCGAGATAGCCAGTCACGAAAACGTCGTGGCCGGACAATGAATAACGGTCATCATAAAAGGGGTCTCGCTGGCAAATCAGGCACGAGATCTATTTCCTCAAGTATCAAGGATAGTTGTTTCTTCAACAAAGGATCCAAGAAACGATCTCGGCGTTGAGCCCTTCAGTATCAACATCCACATGAAAGCTGCCAGCAAGCAAGTACCGGCTGGGATGGTGGTTCTTCAACAAAGAAACCAATGAAAGACTTCAACTCTCGTGTACGACATCTACTAGCAAACATATCCCCGATATCCGGCACCCATGAATGCAATCTCAACACCCTCCTACCACCTACCATCCATCACGGCAATCCCTGTCTCATGTCCGTCTTCTCATTCAACCCCCATGACTGCGAACTCCCATCATGAACAGTAGCCCTTCTCATATCTCTCCGGTACTTGTACGCAAAGTCCCCGCCCATGGCGCGGTGCATCGTGCAGGTATTATCCCAGACGACCATATCCCCGACATCCTCCCACTCCACCACGACGCGGTACTTTTCCTGCGTAGCGTGGTCAAAAAGCTTCTCGAACAAAGTCTTTGAGGCCTCCGGAGTGAGATTCTCGATATGGTGGATGTGCATTGCGAGATAAAGGTTCATCCGTCCGGAAGCTTCATGTTTTTGCACGAGCTTGTGTCGTCCCATTAGGTAGTCTGCGGGTTCAATGTTCGCAAAGTGCTCCGGGGCCGCGAGTTTCTTGGAATGCAGGATAGAATGGCAAGCAACGTAGTCTTTCTCCGTCAACTCCGCCTTCATATCCTCATCCAGCCCATCCCACGCAGCCCTGGTATCGCAAAACTCTGTGCTTCCACCTGTACCCTGGGGAGGCAACTCATGTGCCAGGAGCATGGAATAGCCCGCCCGCCTAGGATTGAAACTCGAATCGACGTGAAAGAGAGCATTACTCAACCCAGCCTGGGCACGCGGGGATTTAGGGTCGATGATGGAACCGTCTGCCTCGATGTTTCCTACGTCAAAGAGCTCGTCGTACTGGAGGCGGTTGATACGACCCGCTTTGTTGTAGGGTTTGACATCGTCTAGCTCGCCGAGATGTCGGGCTAGGGCGATGTGGGTTTCGTCTGTAAGGCCGCTTTTGCGGATGACGACGAAGCCGTGCTGTTCAGAGGTTGTTAGTCAAGTATGATAGGCAGGCTTGACAGATAAGAAGGGTACCTCGGAAGCTTACCTTTTTGACAAGATCTTCAATCAGGCGAGCGCTTTGATCGAGTGTGTCAGGTTGAAATGGAAAGTTGTGTGCTTCGATCCCAAAGCCGGGGCTGAGCTCCTTGGTATGAAGTTCGGTGATAGCCATTGCAATAGTCTGTATGGAGAAAGTGGTCGGGATGGTTTGCAGCCAGATGTTCAGCTTGGGCACGCAAGATGGGGGTTAGTTATATTGATGGTTAAGATGATCCGAGACGTACGATGAGATCACGTATCCGAGTCGCTTATTCCCCTCTTCCGATGAGTAGACGAAAGCCGTCCATTTCCGCGGGACAGGACGGGTAGACGATTGATCCAATCATCTTACACCTAAGAGAGTGCGGGACTCGTCGGAGAGGGAAGAGAGTTGAGCAAGCGCTAATGTTTAAGCTCTCGGCAATAAGACGGCCAAATTCCCAACATAAGGTAGGAAGTCGAATATTGCATCCATCACACATAACATAACGAGGGGGAGGAAAAGGGGTCGGGCATCGAAATTTGCTGATGTTGAAGAGTGTTGATTTATTATTCGCGCTGAATTAAGATTCAAACAGTAGGGCAGCTGGAACGCTGCGTGGGTATAGTATTATGATCCCTCCTCAAAGACGTCGTATGCTGTCTCCCGTATTCGTCAACCTGAAGCTGGTGTATCAAGTTTGTTTATTCATGTTCAACCGCAGCAGACGGTGGCCTCGCTGGCAGCAGAGGTGGGGCCATCGTAAATAGTCTCCCATTGGAACAGGAAGGCACCGATGTAGGAACCGATGAAGATGCAGATGATGAGGTAACCGTTGTAGTACATGGCAAGACTAAGGACAATATTAGCGCCTTTCTTTGAGATGAAGGCAGCGTCAAGGCAACGTACAGCATGACAAAGTAAGCGACGGCGAATTGGCACATGTGGATGAGTGCGCGGACGGCTTGCTGCAGAACGTTGGGGCGGAAAGGCGGGACGACGTTTGCGGTGATAGCGGCGGCGGAGCCGGAGGGGCCTTTGCCGTGGTCGTCGGCGCTAGCGGAGCTCGGGGAGACGGCACCGGCGTTGGCGTACTGCTGCTTGTGGGCCTTGATGAGGTATCTGTCGTACTCCTTGGTGGCGCGGCGAAGAGCCTCAAGAACCATGACCAGGAGAATAACCCCGATACATGAGCCGGCAAACATGCCGTTGGAGGTGATCTTCCCTG